CACACTCACACACTCCTCACACACACACTCCTCACACACACACACACACACACACACACACCTCACTCACACACCCTGCTGACACACACACCCGCACACTGTTCACACTCACAGCACACCGCTCACACACATGCACACATACTGCATCTCTTACCATGGCCTGAACCTGGCCTATAAGAAGAAGCCTTCTGGATAAGGTGCAGGTGTGTGGACATGCCTGTCTGATGCAAGAAGTGTGACAATAAAAGCTAACCTAGAAAGATGTCTAGCCTGTGACAAGAAGCCTTAGCAGACTGAAGAGACACTTTTGCCTCACTTACCTGGTGAAAGCCCAGATAGTCCACAATTGTTGCTGATGCATAAAATATCATTCCTTCAGCACTCACCACGAGAGCGAAGCCATTGAGAGTCTAGAAAAGACAGAAAAGTAATGCTGGCTCCTAGAGACCTCAACCAACATGTGAAAGTGCAGATGGTCTTGGTTGACATTTTTGGTCATTTCTTCCTGTTTTATAGTTTCTGTTCATGCCCCCAGAACTCCTAATTGTCCGTGACAGGTCCCAAGGTGGCAGGTGGCGTAGGAATGGGGTCCTGGTGTAAGGCTTAGGGATTTAAAATCGCTGTCTTGGACGCTATAATAGCACCGTGCAGAAACAGAGAAGCTGGCCCTCATTCTCTGTAGGGGTTCCCCTGTTCATGCACTCTCTTCCTTGGGCACTTTTTTAAAAACAAATGTGTATCATGAACTTTCATGTTGACTCTATCAGATGCTTTTTCTGAAATGTCTACTGAAATGAGGCTCTGTGTGGTGAGCTGCATGGATCCATCTGAACATAATGATGGTGATGATTTTTAACTTTAACTGTGCATTGGGTGAAGGTTTACAGAGTAGATCTTCAGGTGTGGTTATTTTTCATAGATTCTTAGAACTGATTAACTTAACTCAAGAGTTGGATCTATGTTTAAAGTTAACCTTCTCTATAAATCCCCTCCTTAGTTTCATGGCAAGTATGCATAATCATTAATAAGTGGGTTGGATGTGGGCCTGTATTCTGATGGGTCACCCTGGCCTTGCCCACACGGTCCCTTGTGCTGACTGTCAAGACGTGGACTCCATTCCTAATCCTGCTCTACCACAGCTCTTCTCCCCACAGGCCCAGCTGCAGATTCCCTTCACAAACCACTGGGTACACCCCCCACCCCCAGGACACCTGGTACACAACCTGAAGTTCTGGGAGCCAGAGGCACCAGGAGACCACAGGGCTTGACGAGGGAGTGTGCAGCCATTGCCCTTGGTGTGGGGTGTCCCATGCTGGCCTGGTTCTACCTCACAGGCCCTCCTGGGGCCCCACATGCTGGAGCAAAGAGCATCCGTGACCTCCCCTGCAACCCACACTCTTGAAAAGCACAAATGAACGTGATAAAATAAGAACCGCAAAATTTAACTACCCCAATATCTGTTAACCAAATATAATTTGTAACTCAAAACTGCATACAAAGAAAACTCCAGGCACAGATCAAAAAACATAAAAGACCGAAGAATCTATCCAATGAAAGATGCATAGGACCTGTATACTGAAAACTAGGGAACATTACTGAGCAAAGACCTAAATAAACTAAGAGATGTATAATGTTCATGGATAGAAAGATTCAATATAGCTAAAATATTCAATCTCCTTGAAGTGATATATAGATGTAATATCATCCCAGTCATAATTCCAGTAGTGCTGTTTTGGTTTTTGTTACAGAGTTTGACGAGATGATTCTAAAATTTATATAGAAATGCTAAGGGTCTGGAATAGTCAAAGCAATTTTGTTAGAGATGAAAAGACAATTATAGAGTTTACACTAAATGACCTCATGACAATATAAAACCATGGTTAATGCAATGTGGTGTGGATGTGAAGTTAGACAAACTAATTTCCAATTAAGGTGCTAAGTCAGTCCAATAGGAAAAGGAAATTCTTTTAAACTAATGTTACTGGGGCAGCTAGTTATTTGTAACAAAAAAATAAGCCTTGAAAAGCCATCAAGGCCCTTTAGGACAAACCCACTTTCAAGACTGAAACTCAAAGGGAACACATGAGCAGGCTTGTAAGCTCGCTGGTAACTGCACTGGTCTATCTGTGAGTAGAAGTGGGGGAGAGGCAGCAAGAAGACAAGGGCTGAGTTCAACCATGTTTCATAGACTCCTGTCAGCCTTGAGGTGAGAAAGTGAAGAGAAAAGACTGGTTGGTCTGAAGTTTGGGGAGACTTGGGAACTCCTGAGTCCATGGACACTGACCTAGCTACTGGGGGCTAAAGCTGAGAATAAAGCATCCAGCTGATACAAAGTTGGGAGAGGCATGCAAGAATCCAAACTTGTAGATAGTAGATAGTATCCCTTTGACCTAGCTTAGATGGCTTTATGATCAGAACTGGACTGGAGGAAGATGTAGAAGTTTGATACAGGAAGCAAATGTAAATGGTTTACAATTTGATGAACCTGATCTTTGCTTACGGATGTAGTTGCTCAAAATACCAACCGAGAGGGAAGGAGTCTTCACATCAAAGATCAAACCTAGGAGAACAAACAAGATGGCGGATCGGGTGGAAGTGCAATAAGGGGCTCCAACAGCAACAACACAGAATACCCGACCAAGCAGGCTCAGGGGATGGTCCCAGAACTCTGAACCACATATCAAGGAATGTTTAGAAGATTGGGAGACTTACAACTAGGGGAATTTGTAGTAGAAGCAAGAAATCCATTGCTTTCTAATTCAAGACACTCAGCTACTCCAGGAGCCGCCATCTTGGGTGAGACCACGTGGGGAAAGGATCAGAACAGCCATGGACGCCTGGAAGAACTGCGGAGATAAAGGTGTGAACATTCTTTTCTTTTAGTGTCTGTTCATTGGTCCCTTGCTGTCTGTGCACCTCCATTCTGGTGACTATAGGGGTGCCTGAGCTAGTGGATACCCCAGCCCCACCCTCAGAGGGTTCTACTACTTATGCACACAGATCTCCTCGAAATTTAAAAAGACAGTTTCCACTTAAAACCAAATGGCCACAGCCAGCCCTGAACTGTTTATAACTAGAAAAAAGGCCTGAACGGGGATTGTGGAGTGGGACAGGCAGACAAAAAAGGAAATAGGCCGAAAATTAAATCCTAAATTACATCAAAACGACCAACAGTGGCATCTTGAAATTTCTCAAGAAGAAGAGTGAAAATGGAAGCCCATTTCCTGATCACATCTACCTGGAGGAAATCAGAAATCATAAAAAATACCAAAATACACAGCCATCTAAGTATTAAGGGCACAGATAACCCCTGAATATGCCCCAAAACAGAAGCAGATGATCATATCTGCACATGTCCAGAAACAAGATAAAGTGACTGAGGCAAATGAGATGGAAGTAGACCTACACTCCATACTGGAAGATGGGCAGGCTTTGAAATGCCTGAGAAGAAATTCAGAAAAATGATTATAAAAACTATACAATGGAGTTGAGAAAATAAGGAAGAAGTCAGGAAAGTGCTACAGGAACAATCAAGTAAGATAGATACAGCATTGGAAACAATTCAAAACCTACAGAAAGAGGTCCAAACGATTAATAATAGAATATCAGAAATGGACAATACACTGAAAGGGCAAAGGAGTAGAACTGAAGAGATAGAAGCCAGAACTAGTGAGCTAGAAGACAAATCTCTCAACACTACTAAGATAGAAGAACAAATACAAAAAGGATAAAGAATAAAAAATTCTGAGGAAGATCTAAGACTCATGTTGGACAACATGAAAAGGAATAACTTAAGAATTATTGGCATTCTGGAATAGAAAGAATCACACAAGTCCACAGAGGAGATAGTTGAAGAGTTTCTGGAAGAAAATTTTCCTAGCATCCTGAAAAGTGAAAAGATAAGCATTCAAGAAGCTCAATGAACCCCAGGATGGATAGACCCTAAAAGACAATCACCAAGACATATAATAATCAAGCTCTCCAAAATCAAAGATAAGGACAGGATCTTGAAAGCAGCTAGGGAAAAGAGAAGTGTACATACAAAAGCATGCAAATCAGAAATTAGCTTGGATTTCTCAACAGAAACCATGTAGGCAAGAAGGCAATGGGGAAACATATATAAAATCCTGAAAGAAAAAAAAAACTGCCACCCAAGAATCCTCTACCCAGCAAAGCTGTCAATCAAATATGACGGTGTAATCAAAACATTACAGGATAAACAGAAGCTAAGGGATTTTACCAAAGCCAACCCTGCTATGAAATACATCCTAAAGGAACTTCTGGGGACTGATAACCAACAAGAACAGACAACAACTACAGAATGATGTACGTGGCAGCATCACTCTGAACTCAATCAACAACTGGAAGAGTCAAGAACAGAATAAAATTATAAGAATGGAGGATCTGGGAGGTCAGTCTATGATCAAAACAATTACAATGTGAAAGAAAGTAAACACAGAGGAACATAGATCCAGGTGGTGGGAAAGTCAGGTAGATTACTGGATTAAAATAGACTATCTTAAATGGAGGGAAGAACTAATAGAATATAAGGTAACCACAATGGGGGTGTGATGGGGGGTTTACTTTGGGTGTTGGGGAGGGCAATAGAAGAAGAGGGGAGGAGGCAGAAGAACAAGCTAGATAGGGGAACACTGAGACAGGTTTGCATGACCTAAATGGGACAGAGGTAAATAGTGATGCATACTCAACCTTGGAACAACAGGACTCTGGGATACAGGGATCTAGGTATAGTTTGAAGAGGGTGAATAATACTAAAATCCTTGACTGCCTTATGAATATTAGTTTCCCTTGCATACTATTGTAAAATAGACACTTGAGTGGGATAGAAAGGAATGTTAAGAAACATGATTAGAGAAAACTTGTAAGCCCGTCTTCAGCCTATAACTGATTGGAATACCTAAAGGGGGGTCTACAACTTGCCCAGTGAAATTGGCCTTGTGCAAAGCCTTTATAGAGTATAGGACCTTAGGTGGAATCCTGAGCCCCATCCAGAACCTTATGAGGTGGGGCATTCCCACTAGAAAGGACAAGCAGACTAGAATAGCTACAGTGACAGAAGATACATCTTCAAAGAAAGATCATCAGGAAAAACCCAAAACAAAAATATCAACATGACTGGCTACTACAAGAATAAGCAAGATGTTCACCAGGAAGACATCAAGGCTAGCAATCAAGTGCCTTCAGGACAAACTCCCCTCTAAGACTGAAATTCAAAGGGAACACATGAACAGGCATGTAAGCATGCTGGTGACCACATTGGTCTACTGGTGAGTGGAAAAGGCAGAAAGGCAGCAATGAAGAAATGGGCTGAGTTCAACCCCCATCCATTGAATCCCACTGACCTGGAGATGAGAGAGAAGAGGAAGGGCTGGTTGGTCCAAAGTGTGGT